AATAAAGTCAAAAATAAATTTCACTGTCAGTTTGCTTTCCGTGCACCTTATAAAATTACTTTTTTAACTTTCGAAAAGTGCTACATCATCGTTACGGTTACTATAATAGAAAATGCCGCATACTACTCTCTATTTTAATGAAGGATGGAGTCGGTTGTAACTTGAATGATGTGTCTGTCTGCGAGCAGACACCTCTGGGAATCTCGCAATGCCATGGAATGTAGGTAATCGACCACGCCGAGCGTAGTGGCAGCATTTGTTTTTATGTAAAAATGAAAATAACTTCGTCAGAGTTTCGGCTTGATCAACAATATATGGCGCCTTTTAAGTGTTTCCTGAAAATTTTGTTGAGTCAGTCTGCGATTTGACCGAGATGTAAGGATTTTAGTCTTTACTGATAACAGACGAAAACCCCGTTTTGCACAAAAATGCCTCTGGTGAAATTGTTTTCATTTTTACATAAAAACAAATGCTGCCACTACGCTCGGCGTGGTCGATTACCTTTATTCCATGGCATTGCGAGATTCCCAGAGGTGTCTGCTCCCAGGCAGACACGTACTCAGGGAAAGCGAGCCCTGTCCAAACGACGATAGCTGGAAAGCTGGGACTTGCATAATTTTGTAGAATAACGACCGGGCTACCTACGCATACAAAAAAATTACTAACGTTGTATGTTAATTTTCTGAAAACGGAGCTGGTTTTCCAAAGATCCTCTGGAAAACCGGCTTTAGAAACTTTTTCGAAATTTGTTTTTGCTTACGAAGTATAAAGTTATCTCTTTTATGTCTAACAGTGAAAACCGCACATTTTTATCTGCTTCCGTTCAGGCGTTATTCAAGTTACAATCGACTCCATTCTTCATTGAAATAGAGAATACTATATGACGATCCTACGATTGGTCGCTATTTTGTATATGAAGGGAGATATCGATCAATTACGTATGTTCTACGCGATTCCAAGATTAACTCCTTTAAGGTTATCCCATAAGTTACTGGGTAAAAGCTCTTCGGCTCCAAGGAAATCCAATGCCAGATCCAAATCGCTCAAAATCAAAGTCTCGCTCGACCTCCGCTTTGAAGAGTACATTTTGGGCTTACCTGCTCGAGTTAGAAACCATTATATGGATCTTTTCAAAACTTGTACTTTCGAAAAAGATTTTGAACTTTATTTCGCTTACCAAGAGACGTGCCCCGATCTTGGATATCGATTGCCGAAAGCCTCAGATCCATAGCTATCTTTGTTGGAGCGTTAATAAAAAAATGGCAATACTCATTCTATTTTGAAATTATCAGTCAACTTTTCCAGAAGTGAAAATTGATTGAAGATCATCCATTTAGAAGGTTCGTGGAAAGAGAGAGTAGAAGTCAAAACAGATTTCTGGACAAAAAGATTTTGATTGTTTCGAGTTTTTATCTATGCGGTCTCAGACGCATCTTGGTGTACATCGAGTAAAAAGAAGTAAGTAGTGTTGTTCACTAGATGAACTTGCATCATTCAGCAATATTATTGTAGATGCGCTAAGTATACAGACTATGGATCATTCATACATTTTCTATCAATTGAAGGACGTCAGTTATCCTGTGATGTTGGTTTAAACATTGTTGATGTCATGACAAAGTAGGAAATCTCAAACCATTTATCCCACGCCATTCAGGCTGGATTAAAAATCAATTTATATAATTTTCTAGTCCGTAGTCCTTTCCGTGATACGACATTTCCGCGGACAGGACCCCGACTCTTCTACGAATTTTTCATATTACAATATTACACATTTGGGTATTTTTGGCAGTGTGTCGTGGAAGATGGGGGTGTTGGTAGGGTAAGAGTGAGTTCGAAAAGTAGTTTTACACAAAACATATTTTCATGATGCGAAGCTGTATATATGTAACTGGATGACATAATGACTATTGGCTAGTATTTATTTGAGCAATAAGTAAGATACTAGTTAGCAATAATCTGTGAGCTATAAAAGAATTATATTTGAGCAATTTATATTATTAAACGTATAATAATTAGGTGATTAAATAGCAGTAGTAATTTCTTATATTAGCAACAAAAAAAAGAGAAAGCACATTATTTTTAGTTACTATTGACAATAAAAAAAAGAAAAACGAACAACTATGTTATTGTATCAGTAAAGCTTTTTTTGCTTTAGATGGTCTACCTCTTTTTCTTTTCGTACCGGTTTCCGCATTTTTAGCCTCTGGTGGAGGTTTGCAATATTTTAACCTGATTGCCATACCTATGATATGCTTGCAAATATAATTTTTAAGGAATGATGGGCAAGTGCAAGTTGCTTTTCTCCATTCTTCAGCATTCTTAGGTAAACAGACGCACCATATGTTGAAGTAGACGGACTTTTATGTGTCAAATAAATTAAATCTACAAGTTTCATACCATTTTATTTCTTTATCTGTTATTGAAGTTTCTTCACCAGCAGGCAAATAATACCTTGTTGTATCACCCTTTGGAATGTCTATAATTTCTTTATTTAGGTTAACCCAATTGTATCCATCGGTTCAGTGTGATAACGTGATTGACGATTGATGTTCGAACTTTTTTGAATTGATACCAGCAGGATTTCGTTCTTTGGACCACTGATTGACAATTGAAAATAGAACAATTGTAAATCTTGCTAAAACCAATCGTTCTCTTAGTGTAATTTCATCTTTATGACACGATTTGTTGCCTCTAGAGCATTATTTGTGCTTGAAACATACATTTCTAAGCCTTCATACCAACCGTTTTTGGATTCTAACCACTCACTTGAGAAGTAATGAATAAATTGTTCTTGATTTTTCCACTTTTTTAAGAATAGTTTTATAGCAATTTCAAATGTTGTGTTATCTTTCGACAGTTGTAATGTATCATCGTCATCCATAATTTCAGTATGTAAATTTTTATCTTCTACTAAACATAACTGTTTTTCTTCGCGTTTACGCATATGAGCCCAGCGCATAACAATACTACGATCTGTTCCAAATACTTTTGAAAATGCATTTCTCATAGCTTCAGAACCACCTGCAATTAGTACTAGATTTTGTTCATTCATTTGCAGGTTCAGATCACATAGACCATCACGGATACACATAAATCTACACTCAAAATCTTTCTCTTGTTCACAGCGGATCGATGAAACTGATCGAACATGGTTATTTTATTGCTCATTTAAATAAAAGTCATGACTATTCACCACATAACTTCACTCAGATTTCTTGCCGTTCGTGGTAATGTCGGTACAGACTTGGATAGATCTCGTCGCGATCTTTCATTATTTGACAGTAGAATCAAGCTTCTATCAACTTCCTTTTGAATAGTAGAAGCTATGCAATAGAGGTCGTTTTAGCTGGAAAATAGTCTCTGCCACTGGGAAAGTATTTTTCCAATAACTTTGTTCCTGCATTAGCTAGCGGTCTGAGTTTTTCGCCATTAGATTCAGCACCCAAAACTGCATCAGTAAAGTGTGTCTCACGATTGGTGCCCAACTGCGTGTAAAGCGTAGTAGATTCTCTGTGGATTGACCCTATTTTAAGGTCTAAAATTTTTGTCACATACTTGAATTGGATGAAAAAATAGAATAGAATGAGGAAGAGAAGGCCGATGAATACGTACAATAGAACTGAACTCAACTGAACAAAAGGAGAGTGGTGGATATCGTGTGTGTGCGTATTCTCTTTGAATTTCTCAACCTATATCACGAAGGCAAGAGCATCTAATCAAAAAAGAAAAGAAAAGAACGGAAAAGAAGCTGTACTTTAATATGTGAACTGACACATTTTTTATCCGTGAGATAAAGATATATTTTCTTCTTGACTACTCATTATCAAAAACTATCAAAAAATCAACTTTTTCACTGTGTGGGGTACTAGTTGCAGTCTACTGACTCATGATTACTATCGATAGTACTGCTAATAAATATATTTTATCAAACATTTTGCTGTATTCGTATTGAAATAATGCAATAACCTTTGTAAATAAGAAAGACACTTCGATGTAAATGCAAGTGGAAGAAAAAGGATGAGTAAAAGAAAAATACGGATGCGCAATATACTTAGCTTGTCTCCTGACGTTAATCTGTTGAGTTTTATTGGACGAAAAGGACAATAGAGATGGGAAACGTAAGAAAATGTTTTACAATTTCTTACATTTTACATTCTTTCTCAGCTGATCTAAAACAGAGAAAGAACGTTAAAAAAGACGTCTCTACTTTTCTCTTTTCGTTCTATATATATCTTGTACCCTGAGAAACACTCTTGCCGTTTAGAAAAATAGAGACGTCTTTTTTTGCGTACTTTCTCTGTTTTAGCTCAGCTGAGAAAGAATGTAAAATATAAGAAATTGTAAAACATTTTCTTACATTTCCCATCTCTGTTACATCTCTAATGCTACTTTGGACAATTTCTGTAAAGTTATTTTGTAATCACCGAAAGACTTCTCGTATAAGATAAAAAAGAAATATTACAGATGAGAGAAAGAAGAGAAAAACACGCTCAAAGCCTGTTAGATCATATTCAATAATAATGTCTGCATTATTTTTTATTCATTTTCGACTCTATTCTCCTCACAGTCCGCATTGTTAATTTTAGCCGCAGCTTCATGTAAAAAGTGGCTAGCAGTGAAGTATACAAGTCAGCATTTGAGATCCTATTGTTCTCTTCTGAACCGCCAAGATGATATTTGAATCAGTCCTTATGTACAGCTTCTTTTCCGTTCTTTTCTTTTCTTTTTTGATTAGATGCTCTTGCCTTCGTGATATAGGTTGAGAAATTCAGAGAGAATACGCACACACACGATACCCACCCATTGATATTCAGAGGTAAACTGTAATTCGGCATGCCTATTCAAATCTGAAACTAATTCTTTAATATTATGCTCTGAAAGCTGTGGCACAAGTAGAATATCGTCAACGTATCTTGCTAGTCCTAAATATGGGTATCTATTAAAATCATAATTTCTGTCAAGAAATTCCTTTAGTGTTATATCAACCAAGAAAGGTGAAATAGAGGATCTCATTGGCAGTCCTCGTTTTTGTTTATACAGACTATTATTGAACTGAAATATTAGATTTTCAATACTAAATTCTACCAACCTTAATAAACTACTTTTTGATAAACTTGTGCTACCTTTCCAAGTTTCATCGTTGTCTAGCACATCGGTTAAAATATTTAAAGCTTTCTTTCTGTCTACTGAAGTAAAGAGATCTGATACATCCAAACTCGCTAAAGTAGTATGATTCTTTAGTTTGAGCTTATATAACTTCTTAATGAGATCTTGTGTATTCTTAACTGATCTCGCATTTTCTGCTAACGGTTTTATTATTTGAGTAAGATACTTCGCTAAAGCCGATCCCATAGTGTCTCGCATCGAAACAATCAAACGCATAGGTCGATCTGCTTTATGAATCTTAACTCGATCTCGTACGAAAGGAATTTTAGTATTTTCAAGTAATTTTCCCGCCATTTCTTTACTTATTTCTCTTTTACTTATACATTCTGATAATAATATACTTAATTGCTTATGAATGAGCTTAGAAGGGTCCTCTGTTAAAGTTTCATAAACATTACTGTTTAATTTATCTTTAATTTTCCTAATGCAGTCCTGAACATTGAAAACTACAACTTTGTTCCCTTTGTCAGAAGAAATTGCAATTATTTGTTCATGTGATTTTAGGGCTTTTATTGCTTTCAACTGTTTCTTCGATAGATTCTTTCTGTCTAATTTGATATATGTTTCTAGATTTTGCTCGAGAACTCTCTTAATCCCACTAACTAGTTCTTTTTCGGGTAGCAGCTTTTTATAAGTACCAGCCTCCACCCCTGCTATCGCCTTAGCTACATAAGTAGTAGTATTGAGAGTCTGGTTCGGTATAAAACTTAAACCTTTATTTAGTATACTTCTTTCATCGTCATTTAACTTTCTCGTTGTCATGTCCTCTACCCTGTCTTCATCATTTTTGTTCGAATCATTGATCGTTGTACTCTTGCAACTGTATCTTTGTCTCTCTTAAATAAATGACAGAATTTTATAAACAGTTTCTTCTTCAATGAAGATTTAAGTTTTAACGATTCTGCATCAATATCTGTACACCATTTAAGTAACTGAAATTTGTCATGAACAGTATGGTTAATTTTATCTTTCATATTTGTTAACGGATTTTTTAATTTATTAATTCTGACATAATTATGTCTAATAGTCGCATTACCTAACTTAATATTGGCTTGAGTACAAATACGGTTAACATTCTTGGTCCCAAAATGAACTCCGTTAACTCTAAACCCTTTTGGTATTACGTAATTTTGCTTACATTTCCTTAAGAAATAATTTTGTTCCCAAAGTTTAATCAATTTCAAAGTAATGTTCTTCATTTCTTTGTATAATCCCAAAATCTTCAAGTATACTATATCGCACATATTTACAAAGGTTATTGGATTATTTCAATACGAATACAGCACAATGTTTGATAAAATATATTTATTATACTTTAATTCGTACAATTACTATACAATTACATAGCTAATCGTTTCGACGTTTACCAACGTCTTCATCAGTAGCAACAGATTTTAGAAAAAAAATTTTTTTACATTGAAATCAAAAATACACGTCTGTAGTTAGATGTTAAATCTACAGTTATAACCTTTGACGAACATTTTATTAATATTAAAGAATTAGTTTCAGATTTGAATAGGCATGCGGAGTTACAGTTTACCTCGGAATATCAATCAAAAGATAGTAATATATCATTTTTAGATGTCTTAATACGTATAAATCACAATAAATCTATCGAAACTAGCTGGTTTAGAAAAGAAACGGTCAGTAAGAGGGTGTTAAACTTTCATTCAGATCATAGCTATGCTATGAAGAAAAATATTATTACCAATATGGCAAATAGAATAAGAATAGCTAATAACAATGAACACAATCTTAAGGATAGGACCACTCTGCATAAAATGTGGCAGAATAGTGATTATCCGCCGACATTAATAAACAAAATTTTTCGAGAATTTGAAAAACAAATTTCTATTTCAAAGGATATGAGTGAGCAACACTCATCAATTCCGCCGAGTGTAGTAGTAATACCGCATGTTAATAGTATCACAGAAAAATTGAGAAGGCATTTATCTATGTTCAATGTTAGAATTTACACTAGATTGAATCGCAGTTTAGGATCTATCCTAAATAAGTCAAAGAAAATAGCATTAGGTAATAATAATTTTGAAACAAAAAGTAAAAAACATAAAAATACCACAATAAAAAGTAAGGAACATCTAAATGAGTTTGCGATATATGGAATTCCCTGTTTTTGTGGTGATACTTACGTTGGAGAGACTATATCGTTTAAACAGAGGATAGTACAACATCAAAAAGAAAATAAATATGAGAGATTCTGAAAACTTCGAACTAGCAAAACATTTTGAAAATGGAAACGCATGTGATATTAACTTCGAAGACAGTGTAGTTTATGATAAAGAGAAAAATGTATTTAGGAGGAAAATACTGGAATCAGTATACACTATAGCAAATCGGGGGTATAATAGATGTAAAACTATAAGCCCAGCACAATGGAAATCGATTATAAGAAAATGGGTAAAATCATGCAGTGGTCAAAGATTTTATGGGATAGAAGATTAAACTGATTCTTCGATGTGACTTTTTCTTAGTTAGACTTTGATGTGTCACTAAACGAGTTTTTATTTTATTTTCATGTTTTCACTTCATTCATCTCTTGTTTCGTTTCATTTTGACTGTTCGTTTTAGTTCTTCGTCATATATGACAAAAGGGAAAAAATAAGGAATAGACGGGAAGAAATAAGGATAAAAGGCAAAAGAAAAATATATAGTTAGAAATCAAATGTTCGTCAAAGGTTATAACTGTAGATTTAACATCTAACTACAGACGTGTATTTTTGATTTCAATGTAAAAATTTTTTTTTTCTAAAATTTGTTGCTACTGATGAAGGCGTTGGTAAACGTTGAAACGATTAGCTATGTAATTGTATAGTAATTGTACGAATTAAAGTATAATAAAAATTTTTTATCAAACGAAGTTGTTTTTGTTATGAAAACTATGTGTGGTGCTTGCTGCTGCTCTAAACATTTGTCTCTTATCTAGTTGTATGTCCTAAATTAAAAAATGACTGTGACACAACCATTATTTCAACGTTTACCACAAACCATTGTACCGTTGCATTATGATTTGACAATAAAACCAAATTTAGAAAAATTTACATTCGATGGAAACATTGTTATTGATTTAATAGTGTGTATCTTCTAATAGCGTCTTTTTTTTGGTTTAATCCACTAATGTTTCATTTTCTTGTGCAGGTTAACGAAACGGTAAATGTTATTGAACTTTATGGTGCTGATATAGAAATACAAAATGCTCAGATAAAAACAAAATCAGGTGAAGAATTATATGAACATTCGTCTCTGATAGTTTCAACTTTCTTTCTTTCTCTCAATGAATTTAAGGTCAAGGAAATTCAAAACTCGAGCGGATTTTTGATCTTGCACGTTTTCTACATGTTTGATTCAGCTCTACCTGCTCCGATTATCTATGATCCATTGAGAAAAAGTTGAATTAGGTCAAAAAATCAGAAATACTGGATAAGTAGAAAAGATCGAAAAACGGCTTTTTTCGGACAAAAAACGTGCAACATCTCATAGTCTATACGATGCATCGTATCACTTTCAAACCAAGTTACTCTTCATCTACGTCAGAAAGTGAATCAGAAAATGTGTCTTTCAACTTTTTCTCGACACATTTAACCGTCAAAATTTGAGATTTTCTGAAAAGGCCAAAAACATTCACCGTCCTTCGCAGCAAAAAACTTCTTTAAATGACGAGAGGGTGTAGATCAAATTTTGCGGTAGAAAAATTTGCCAAATCGTGCTGAGTAAAGTTACGTATCCGTTTGGCTCAACTCTCGTTCGTTCCTGAGGTATCGCATTTATATTATATAAAAGGAGTTTGGCGCCGAATTGGCCAGGTGATCTTTGAATAACTCAGCCATGTTCTACTCAAACGAAATAAAACTCTCTGGACTAAAACTCGGAATTTTTTTGGGTTTCAAGTCATGCTGAATCTGATCCAAGTGCTTTATGAAGTGGATTTTCAAAAGTTTTTCTAGAACTGTTCTTGGAAACCTTGCTTTCTTAGACCCAATTTGTAGAAAACCCTCGTTTCCAAAACCCCTTGGATCAGATTCAGTTAAAAGACACATTTTCTGATTCACTTTCTGACGTAGATGAAGAGTAACTTGGTTTGAAAGTGATACAATGCATCGTATAGACTATGAGATGTTGCACGTTTTTGTCCGAAAAAAGCCGTTTTTCGATCTTTTCTACTTATCCAGTATTTCTGATTTTTTGACCTAATTCAACTTTTTCTCAATAGATCATAGATAATCGGAGCAGGTTTAGCTGAATCAAACATGTAGAAAACGTGCAAGATCAAAAATTCGGTCGAGTTTTGAATTTCCTTGACCTTAGGTACACAAGCTTGTACTGTTGAATTTGATAAAGAAGCTGAGCGTATTAAAGTTCAATGTTCAAGGAACATAGAAGTAGGTAGAGATAAAAGAATATGTTTTTGTCGTGCTGATTTTTTCTATTAATTTTTAGAAAGGTGATTATCAGTTGAGTTTGAAATTTGCTGGTGAAATAAATAATAAAATGAAAGGTTTTTATCGTACAAAATATAAGACTCCAGAAGGTGAAACAAGCTACGGTGCCAGTACACAATTTCAAGTAAGCATTTTGAGGTTGATAACAGTTTCTATTATCTATTCTAAAATAGAATGCACTCCATCACTTTTTAAATACTTTTGAATGACAGTAGGTAGAGAGCTGCAGTTTTCAAATTCTAAAAGCTTATCCTCGGCTCAATGAGAGCATAAAAAGAAATAAAAACTCTGACGCCACCTGCAGGTAGTATACTACGCAGCGGCATTTTGAGAAATATATCTCAGCGCTGGAAACGTTTTCGAGTTTGTTCATTAACCATGTATTCTAATAGTTTCTGTTTCATGCCCTCTTGCTTTTGGCGTTGTGTACACATTTTTTGTTCTGTTTTTGTGCCACATCGCAGAGGAGGACAAAACTTATGTAGGAATTCGAAGAAAGAATGAACGAAATATAATCGATTTTAAACGTACATTTCTTATGGATGTTTCAAATTTCAAGACGTCAGAAAGATGAGATCTTCATATTTGACTGTATTTTGTAAAACTACTCTAGGATATACGTCTTCTGTGAAATATAAGAGAATAGTGTTAATAGACGAGACTAAGTATGATATCCTACTTAACGATGTAATGGTCGTTAATAGGTAGGATATAGTGTAACGCTTTATGTGAGGTATACTACCTAAAAACGGAACGCTTTACGTGGGATATTGTTGGAGTTAGAAAATTTTCAAGGCCTAGTGTGTTAACTGCAGCTTCGAGGTCAGACTAGCTAGAGTATGTTACTGATCGATGTAACACAGGTTTGTATCTGTATCCTACTAAGCTACGACACTCACAACTTTTATTGTTACCCAGTGAGCAGTTCGCGTATGTTGTTTCACATTTAGACCATTACGTCTACGCTGGCAAGCCTTTTTTTTTGTCTGAGTTTTTGGAAGTCGACCTTATAAGTAATCTATGCCTTCATAAAAGTCGGAATAAATCAAGTTAAGTCTTGAGTTAAGATAACTTTCTAGTTTAAAAGCTCTTTTTAGTACTTTTTAATAAATTAAAATTTCTTTTTTAAAAGTCTTGAGTAAGACGAAACTGAAAAGAACTTTGAAGACTTTTTTTGAGAACAGCTTCTTCCCGACTTATGTGAAGTTATGCCGAGTTGCCACTAAACTTATGTTAACTTTTGCCTTAAGTTAATTTAATTTGACTTATTTTAACTTTCAAGCGAAAGTGAGATTTTTTTATCGAAATTCCATTTCAAGTTCTTTTAAGTTCTTGAAAGATATTTTTCTACTGATTCGGGTTTCTTTTTAATTAACCGGTGAATACATTTCGAAATGAACAGTAGTATAATAAACACCGAATGCATAACTATGTATTACGAGACGTTTCGTACAATATCTTAGTACATCCTCAGTCGTCTCGTAATACATAGTTATGCATTCGATGTTTATTATACGATATTTTTCTATCTTAAAATTTATAATAAGTTTTCGACTGTTAGTGTTTAGTAGGAGGATAAGAAGATAAATTGCACTGACTTAAAATAAGGTTTGTCTATCAAAAAACAAATTTTGTTTTTCACTAAGTGACAGACGGTTAAGGTCGTTTTAGCTCTTTTATTTCTTCGAAAGTCTTGAGAAGACTTCTTGAGAAACGTAGAATTTCTTTTTATTTTCTGAAAAATTCTTAAGATTTAATCACGAACTAAAGAGATATTTTTAGGCCTTAGTCGAAGTAACCTTTTTAATTATACTTTTTAGAATTGTTAAGTTTCTTAAGAAGAGTTATTACATCTTTTTAAAAAACTTAAAATTTCTTTTGAGAATTTTTATATCTGAAGAAGACTTAAAAAGTTTTGGACATAAGAAAACTTAAAAGTACTGTTTAGAACTAAAAAGCGGTTTTTTTTAGGTCACCAAAAATGACCACCTCGACATCACTTTCACGCTGGTCTTAGCTATGTAGATTGTACGGTAGCGGAACTAGGGCGGTTTTCCGGAGACCACCTGATTTCGTTCCAGGCAAGTCTTGCAATCTCGGAAACACTCGAGGCATAGGTAATCGAATGCGGTGATCATCGTGGTAACGTTTGTTTTTGATCAAAACTTAAACAAAGATGGTCTGAGTAATTTATCTGAAAAAACCAAGTTTCTGCCTGCAGACTACTAAACTTCAAACGGAGATATCTTCACTCATTAGTTATCAGAAATCGCTCAGATTTTCAACAGCAACGCTCGACCCAGAATATGTATTTGTAGACAAAACTTAAATACGACAGGTTTAAAAACCCGTGGTTTTTCAGAAATCTAACGGAATGAACCATAACCTCAAAAGCTCGCAGGTTACGATTGTTTTCATTGTAACTGTTGTGTTGTTCGTCATATTTTGAGTGTCTAGTGAAAAATCGATGAAGTTCTGACGTAAAATGACTAAGATATATCCGTTCGAAGTTTAACAATCTGCACGCAAAAACTTGATTTATGAGATAAATGATTTAGGCAATCTCGGTTGACGTTTTAGTCCAAAACAAACATCACTACAATGATCAACGCATTCGATTACCTATGTCTCGGGTGTTTCTGAGATTGCTAGGTACGTCGGGATGGAGATAGAATGGTCCGCGGAAAAACTTTCTAGCTCCGTAGCGTTGAGAGCTCTTGACTCGGACTCTCAGAAACTGAAAACCACAGCTTTCTCTCCATGTCTTCATTCTAATATCACTAGTAAAACAATGGAGTTCATTTCACTTCGAAATGGATAATAGCACATTTGTATGTGTATGACCCTATTTTTTCTTTTCCAGGCATCAGATTGTCGTCGAGCGTTTCCATGCTGGGATGAACCTGCATTCAAGGCTACTTTTGATATCACAATGGTTATACCGAAACAACTTTTAGCAATTTCAAATATGGTTAGTATTCGGTATTTCTAACTAACCAATATTACCTAGGTACACTTTTCATGTATTTATTCTTTCCAGCCAGTAAAGTCAGAATCAGACTACTATTCTGACGATGATAGACAGTGGAAAGTAACTAAGTTTGATCGTACTCCTATTATGTCAACTTATCTCGTTGCATTTATCGTCGGTGATTATGATTTTGTTGAAACAAAAGATTCAAATGGCGTTATTCTGAAAGTATACACGCCTCTTGGAAAGAAAGAGCATGGAAAATTTGCATTAGAAGTAGGAAGAAAAAAGTTGTTCATTTCTCAGTAGATATCAAAGCTAGTGGTATTAATATTGTTCCTTCAGGCTGGTTCAAAAATCTTACCGTTTTATGCCGATTATTTTGGCATAAAATATCCGCTGAAGAAACTGGATATGTAAGTTTCTCGTAAGATTTTTATATTTTCTCTACATTGACTACTTTTATAGATTTGTTGAATTTTAGGATTGGCAGTCCAGGTTTTTCAGTTGGTGAGTAATATACCGTGTGCTATATTTCCTCTTTGAATTCAATTGTTTGAGAAAGTCAATGGCCACTTCCATTGATACTACCCCGGACTTACAAAGTGAAGTTTCCGCTCACTTTGAGACCTACCTCATTTGAACGAGTGTCAAATTCTAACCAAGAAAATATACCTTTTTATTGTTTTAAGTCAATGTTTCTAACAGGTCCTAGCGACCGTGGTCGGGGTCATACCGTTTATCAGATTTCAAGATCCAGTTCCATTGTAATTTTCTCTGTCAAATGAAAACCGATCGGACCAAAATTTTACCAAAAATATTTCGATCGATTCTGAGTCGAATGACGCAAGAGCAAAGTCCCTATTACAGTGCATTGGATTTCGCGTTGTTTGCTCTATCTAAAACAATGTCACGTCTCGTCTAACCTTAAGGAGGCTTGTAAGAGTGCTAAGCGGCAAAGTGTTTATTGCTCTTTTAATGTTTTTTATTTCATTCCTAGAAGGCCAGTGAAAGCGATCTTTAAATACATGTACGCGAATTTTCAAGTTTGCGTTTTTTTCTCCCTATTCTAACAACTTTCAACCATGATATTCGGAATCAACACAATTGATTCTATATGAATTCATTGAAAACCCAATATATCTTTCTTCCTTTCCGAGTTACAGAGTTTAGAAAACATCGATTTTCCTGTAAAAACCTAGCAATCTTCAAAGTGCACCAAAAATTATCAAACACATCTTTTCTGAAAGTTTGTTCAATTCTGAGTAAAACAAGGTGTTTACCAGACTTTTAAGTTCAAAAATGACCAAGTTACAAGCAATTCACTTTATGGGATCAGATTCGGGTCATAGGCAAATAAACTTTCAGGAAAGATGTGTTTGATAATTTTTGGTGCACTTTGAAGATGGCTAGGTTTTTACAGGAAAATCGGTGTTTTCTAAACTCTGTAACTCGGAAAGGAAGAAAGATATATTGGGTTTTCAATGGATTCATATAGAATCAATTGTGTTGATTCCGAATATCATGGTTGAAAGTTGTTAGAATAGGGAGAAAAAAACGCAAACTTGAAAATTCGCGTACATGTATTTAAAGATCGCTTTCACTGGAAGGAAGGTAGAAGGAAGAATAGCCCGCCTTGCGGCTACCTTGCGGTATAGGGTGCTGCCGAAGCAGATTCGATAGCCCGATATCTTCCCTACAGCTGATGATCTTCAGAGGCGGTCACCCGTTCTTCTACTAGTCACCAAGCAAGCTGTAGCTCTGGACAGAAGGCCGGCCTGACACAGAGTTCTTTCCGCCCAATTGCTCGAGCTCCCCATACACACTCACTAACCACATACTAGCACCGAAGTACCGGTGTATGTCATAACGTAGTGAGCATGCTATCGGACGGGTGATCCGAGACAATAGCCGCTAGTAACTTGTCCAAGGTTATTCTATGACTGGGTGGCGGCGAGGCTCGAACACGGTACCTTTGAAGTACGCGCCGAACAACATAATCACTCAGCCATAGCGACTTCTGCGCTTTCACTGGCCTTCTAGGAACGAAATAAAAATTCAAAGACATTGTTTTAGAGCAAACAACGCGAAATCCAATGCACTGTAATAGGGACTTTGCTCGTGCGTCATTCGACTCAGAGTCGATTGAAATATATTTGGTAAAATTTTGGTCCGATCGGTTTTCATTTGACAGAGAAAATTACAATGGAACTGGATCTTGAAATCTGATAAACGGTATGACCCCGACCACGGTCGCTAGGACCTGTTAGAAACATTGACTTAAAACAATAAAAAGGTATATTTTCTTGGTTAGAATTTGACACTCGTTCAAATGAGGTAGGTCTCAAAGTGAGCGGAAACTTCACTTTGTAAAGTCCGGGGTAGTATCAATGGAAGTGGCCATTGACCTTCTGTTTACAGGCTAATCTCTTTTACTATTTTTAGGTGGTATGGAAAACTGGTACGTGAGAAATATTACGTGTCACGGATGTTTGTGAAACATTTTCTCTTGCACACAGGGGCTTAATCATTTACAACGAAACTGCCTTGTTAATTGATCCAAAGTTCTCGTCTATGGACAATCGACAGACAGTAGCATGGGTTGTCGCTCATGAATTAGCCCATCAATGGTTTGGAAATTTAGTTACAATGGTATATCTAGTCTAGTTTAGACTTTTATTTCTGACAGTCTAAGAAACAGTTTTGTATTGTTTTTTAGGATTGGTGGACTGATTTATGGCTAAACGAAGGTAAGCAAACAAACACATCATGTCGATCTGGTCGGGAGTAGAAATTCCACTAAGCTTTCAAATAAAAAGACTAATGAAATAGATTATTTGGTTTTTTTACTTTTTTAACAGGCTTTGCAACTTGGATTCAATTTCTTGCTGTTGATAAATTTTTTCCTGAATTTGATTTTTGGACACAGTTTGTTGCCCATACATTCGCTCGTTTCCTTGTACCCGACGCATTACAGTCTTCTCATCCAGTTGAAGTACCAATTGGTGTGTTATTAAATAAATATTTTAAGAGAGAGTGCAAGAGAAGATCGAATATCAGATCGTCAAAAAGATGACAAAATTTGACCTATACTTTTTATTCACATATTTTGAATCTGTGAAAGAAATCAGGCCTACAAAAAAATTTGAGCGACTTAGGACGTAAAACGAGCTATAGGTAGAAAAGTATACTTATTCAGAAACTGGGAAAATTGTAGCCTCTTTGATATTTTCCTTATAATTCCATCGTTTTACGTCCAATCTTTTTGAGAAACGTCTCATTAGAATGAGTATTAAAAACTCTATTATCAGAAAGAGTGTATTTCAAGTTTTCTGACGCAAAATGAGGTTTCTAGAAAATGATCGCTTAAAAAATAAAGGTTGTCAACAGCTGATTTTTGCGCGGTTTTTCTTGTTTTTAGAATCAGTTTGAAAATAATAAGATTTTTCTGTAGAATCTTGTCAAAAATTCAATTTTCTATAACATAGGCTATGTTTTAGAACACCATCTTTCAGCTTTTTCGCATTTTTCTCCACCAAAAGTCAATGAAAACTAAAAACTAAGGGTCATATTTGAAATTACAGTCAAAAACTGAATCAGCAGACATATTACTCACTGAATTTCTACTTTAATTAAAAATTTTCAATTTTAGTAGCAATCGATCATGGCAGTTTTCCACCAGTTTTGAGTACTCTTATCATTTTCAAAGTGATTCTAAAAACAAGAAAAACTGCTCAAAAACTGACTGTTGCAAAACAACTTTTTACTCAACAAGTGATCTTCTTCTAGAAATTCAAGTTTGTTGTTGTTGAAACTTTTGATGTGCTCTTTCAAATGCGATGTTGCTCAAAAAGTTTGGATGTGAATTACAGGTGAAAAAGCAAAGAGATCGGTTTTTCGGAGTGTACTTTGAAATGCATATAACTCGGTAATTTTTCATTGAAATCGCTGAAATTTCTTCAGAAGGACAGTTTCTCACGTATATTCATAATATGTAATAAAAAGTGTATGTTAGAACTTTGCATGTTATGAGGTTTCTCGATGCTCTGACGCTCTCTCTCTAAATGGTGTCACGTTCTTTATCTCATTCTTCTGTCGTCTTAGGTCATCCGGCTGAAATTGATGAAATATTCGATGATATTTCCTATTCAAAAGGTGCGTCTGTTGTTCGAATGTTACATGATTATATTGGTGATGATGCATTTAGAAAAGGTGAGAAATAAAATATAAATATCGCGAGGAAATGACAAAAAACCCTTCCACCACATTTATTTTCCTACTACAGGCTTACATAACTATTTGGAAGAATATAGTTATAAAAATACTGTTACAGAAAATCTTTGGACACATTTAGCAAATATTTCGAATAAACCAGTAAGCGATGTCATGGGTGGTTGGACATTGCAAATGGGCTATCCTCTCTTGACTGTTCACGAACAGCAATCTGGAAATCAACGTATTGTGACCCTTAAACAACAGCGGTTCATTGCTGATGGGAGTAAAGATAAAGAAAATTTACAATGGCAAATTCCTGTTACATTCGTTTCTAAATCACAACCGAATAAAGTATTGAAACAAGTGTTAATGGATAAGCCGGAGATATGTGTAACTTTGGATAATGTGAAAGAAGATGATTGGATTAAGCTGAATCTAAACTCGATTGGACTTTATCGTATAAAATATGAACAAAAAACATTGGAACGTCTAGGCGATCCCATTTCGACCAAAAAAATTACACCACAATGTCGTCTTATGATTCAAAATGATTTGGCTGCACTTTGTTTTGCTGGACATCAATCATTTATTGATTATTTAAAGTTATTGTTAGCATATAAAGACGAAGATAACTTTACTGTTTGGAAATCAATTGGTATGGTAGTTGCACATTTTGCGAAGCATCTCTAATAGTATATACAAATTAATAGAGCAGTAAAGCTTTTAAGTTTACAGAATTTGTTACATAATGGAGAAGTGAACAGCCCCAATTTCCGCGATGTTCTGGCATTTTTCTGGGTCTTAGAAAATTTTAAGCAGTCCGTAGGTGCTGAATGACTGTCGATGTAATGTCTAATATCAGACAGATGACGCTTGCCTCTTTCTTCTAGGGTTGCAGCCATTTCTGGTCAAGTTTTTGTCATGCCCTATTTCCGCGATTTCTCTAGGCTTAGATCACGTTCCCTTTTCTGAGAGGAAAGATTCACATAAATATTATCGGTTTGTTTTCTTGTGTACAGGCTGGTGGGTGGAGTGTGATGGGTAGCGCTAACGTCTGAGATGCATACTTAAATAGGAGGAGAAAGGAAGTGGAAGATGGAGGGAGGAGAAACAGGCAGACATTTGTCCAAATGGATCAGTGCTGTAAGTGCCTGTTATACAAACTCAAAAGGAAGTGTAGAGGAGACACTGTCACAAAAAAACGCTTATTGTAGTACTGCTCAGGAAAACGGGCTGTGCTCCAGTTCTGGCATTTCTGGAGGTGTAGTATGCCTCAGACCGTATTTTGCCGCATGATACATGTCATTCTCGATCCAGCTTTACACCGATGATTGACCCATCTCAATAACAACTGACGCCAAAATACCTCGCACCCTTTCCTGAAATAGTGCAGCATGATTATTTTACTGGAAACGGTCGTTACCTTTACATATGCCACTGTAAGCTAGGAGACATTAGAGCTTCAAAAAAGTGGCCGAAGAGGTGGACGAAGTGGTTTAAGTTAGTGAGAGATATTGGCTGTAAATAATTGCTTTGCTGGAAGTCAGGCGCTTTGTGAAAGACGTTTGATCACAAACAAGCCTAGACTGTGGACGACGTAGCGCGGATTTCTCTTTTAGAAAAGGACCGACGGTTAGTTCCGCGTTATTTAATTTAAAACGAGGAGTTTCGCTTTTTCGAACTCTTGAGATTTGCGCTGATAACCTTTTTTTTCTTTTTAATTTTGAGGTGACATGACCCTTTATTTTTAGCATCGAACATTGGTGATATCTCTTCGTTGTTGGAATATACAAATTACTTTGAAGAAATGAAAAAGTATTGTCTTCACATTTTTTCAACAATTCAGAAGAAACTTGGATGGGATCCAAAGTCTGATGAAGGTATTTATAGCTGTACACTTTAAGAAATATTTCTTTTGTTTAAAAGGTTTTTGGTAACGTCGACAATTCTTTGATTCGCCAGTTAAGATAACTTCCACTATGAGATCTTTTCAGCTTTCTCGTAACGCAAAAAAACGCAGGTTTCTTAAAAAGTACGCAAAAACAAAACGTTCAAGTTCTTTTTGCACATGAAAAAAGCGTATCTCGAAAAAACGCGTTTTTGCGCGACTTTTATCTCGGAAGATTCGACTTTTACATGCAAAAGGAGTTTCAACGATTTTTTTGTGTACTTTTTAAGAGAACTGTATTCTTTTGCGATTGTTCTATGATAATCCGTCAAGTACCTAGGCCAAAATTTTATGCAAATGATTTAATAAAAACCCAAGTAAATCGTTTGTTTGTTGTTTTTCGAAACCGCACGTTTCAGACGTCATCAAAAACGTGTTTGTTGCATTCCTTTTTGACCAAAAGCGCATCTTTCGCGTTACGAAAGATCTAAAAACACCTCATAAGGCGAAAGATAAGATGAGCATTGTACTTAGGCCCAAGGATTTCACTACTTTTTCTGGCTAAAGTTGATTCGATCAACACCTTTTTTTTCAGACCCCTTATCTGCTATCCTTCGTCCATTAATCCTTGGTATCGTCGGTAAATCCGGTGATCAAGCTATTATTGATGAAGCGAGAAAACGATTTGACCGACATTTATCGGGTGATCAAATTGATCCAAATATCCGTAGTGCTGTGTATGTGTTAGTTTCAAGATTTGGAGATGAATCAACGCAAGACAAGTTGAGAAAAGTAAGTCGTGTATAGCGCTGAAAGTTTTCGCTTCGAAAAGCAAAAAGTTATCTTATATCGAGCGAGAGTTAGATTGTGAATGTCTTCGGTTTTGATGATCTATATGATGTTCTAGCTTCAAGAATAACCGAGTAAAATACTAATTTCATCACGCCGTTTGTTTTCACATGTAAATTAGGCGATGAAAGTTTTTTTATTTTCAATATATCTCGTCCGCCTGAAATGGTCAAGATTTCGTTTTGAAAACGTGTTTTATTGAGAGTGGCTCGAAAAAATGGGTAAAACGTCAATTTCTACCCTTCTTCTAAATCGCACCCGAATACATTACGCATCAATAGAAAGAGCGTGAAAAACCGAATAAGATGATGTATTTGAAAGACAAGTAATCTTGATTTTTCACGTCGTTTCTCAAAAGAACGTTTCGATAAATATCGTTTCTTCAAAATTTCGTCACCAAAATTTAACTTCTTCAATTTTCAAACTAGCTGGCTATGCCAAATTAAGTCGGATATTGACCGGTTTTTTCAGACCTAATATTTCGTCCAAGTAGCTATTTTTTAGCTATCATTTAGAACCCAAAGACAGGGGCGTAACTATGGGGGGGGGGAGGGCATTGGGCTACCGGGCAAAGCCAANAATTTTTACCCACCCATACCCCCCCCAACCCCCGGCCCCCACCTCGGGGGGGGCGGGCATTGGGCTACGGTGCAATGCGATTTCAATCTTGGTCCGATAAGCTTTTGATCATTGAGCCAACTCCGTTAGTTCGTAAAAAAAGGAGTGGACCATACTATGATAATTTGAGAAGAGGCTGAGCTACAATGCCTTTTCTAACTGGGTAAATCATAAAGTTCAAAAGCTTATTGGACCAAGATTGAAATCGCATTGGACCGTAGCCCAATGCCTTCCCGCCCCCGCACAGTGGGCATTTTTTGCTAGAGCAGGCGGACTTTAGCTTTATGTGTGAACTAAAATTTCATGAACCATTTTTTTATAGGTTTTTTATGATCCTCTTTCTAATGACATAAGGGTTGAGTTTTGTTAAAGTTTTCTGAGGGGTTTTCCAGAGATCCGGTCTCTGGAAAACGCTTCAGAAAACTTTCTCAGTATTAAACGGAGACATCGCCCAAATTGAAAGCAAAGTTTCTGATTTAGAATCCAAAGACATGACGGTAGACTGTGTCAACTGGTGGATACTTGTGCAGACTTTGTGCACTGTCTAGTCAGCCAGCTAGTTTGAAAATTGAAGAAGTTAAATTTTGGTGACGAAATTTTGAAGAAACGATATTTATCGAAACGTTCTTTTGAGAAACGACGTGAAAAGTCAAGATTACTTGTCTTTCAAATACATCATCTTATTCGGTTTTTCACGCTCTTTCTTTTGATGCGTAATGTATTCGGTGCGATTTAGAGAAAAGATAGAAATTGACGAAACAGCATAAAACAGGTTTTCAAATCTGAAAATCGACTCGAAAGTCGGAAACGTTTTAGTATCAATGGATTGGTCTTGAAATATTGGATCGAAATATGTGTATGTTTCTTTTTTTTTGTAGAAAACGTCTTGCTTAAGAAACGCGAAATACTGAAGTAGTAAGTTTTCCTGTTGTCCAAAAAATCATTGTTACCTATCTAGCTATGCCAAATTAAGTCGGATATTGACCAGTTTTTCCGACCTACTATTCCGCTCAAGTAGCTATTTTTTGGAGCTGGAACGAAATCTTGACCTATTTAGGCGGGCGAGATATATTAAAAACAAAAACACTTTCGTCGCCTATTCTTGAAAAGCAAACTTGGTTAGTTCAAAAGACAGTATCTGTTGCAAGATTTTGCATAGATCGATTAATCAATTTTTATTGTCCACTTCTAGCTTTATTTATCTGCTGAGACGGCTGAAGAAAAAGTTCGTCTACTACGCTCAATGGGTCAAACACACAATCCAGAACTAATAAAGAAAACACTTCGATTTATCTTGGAAACTGTAAGAGTTTATGTCTTTTCGACTTCTAGTTATTGCTGCTGCTGCTTGTGCTCCATAGGATGATGTTAGGATACAAGACAGCTATATTGGTCTGGCTGGCTGTACAACCAATAGAGTTGGACGTGAATTAGTGTGGCATTATTTACGTGAAAATTGGAAAAAATTAGCCGAGAAATTCGGAGAGAAAAGCCGTTTCTTAATTTTTTTTGTTAACGTAAGTTGGTTGTTATAAAAAAAACAAAAAACATAATCGAACGTTTTTTCTTGTTTCTTTCAGGTTTTGTCTGACTTTGCTGATCAGAAAACGTCAACTGAAATAAAGAAATTTTTTGATTCAACTAATACACCGATTGTTACACGTCCGGTAAATCGAATAGTCGAGAAAATTCATATGCGTGCGCAAGCGTTAAAACGAGACTCAAAAGCTATCGAAGATTACTTTATTTGTCGTAGTAAAGTTGTTTAGTTTTGTGGAAGAAAAGACTAAGAAAAAAATTCAAGAACAATAGAGATATTAAACTGGGTAATTTTTCTTTTTTTTAATGTTTTTCTATGACCTGATTTTAACATTCGTCTTCATTTCGTATACTATGTAATGCAAGATCTTTTTTGTTTACAAGACATAACAAGTTGAACATTTAATCTATGCTTGAAAGATCGTAACGTACGTAGGAATTATAGTATTTATCCATATTCGCATTACATATGTCCAATCCACACTAGTGAAGACCACACATAGCAGCAATGGAAGGAAGCATGGAGCTGAAAAGCATAATAATGACAGAAGAGACCTTTAAACTTTGTTCAGATCAACTCGAAACTACCAGATACTTTGAAAAGTTTAATCAGTAACAAAAACTTATTTGTCAGAAAAGAAAGGCCAAAAGCACATGTTCTCTTTCTTTTTTGGTAACTAAGTAGTAGACCCAAAAAAATAACTATTTAGAAATATTGTAGCCTAAACCTACTAAGACCAGTTTCCTCAGCCCATTGAGAATGACCGTCAAATGGCCAAAATAGACCAATATTTTTTCTTACATACCTTGAATCTATGAAAAAACTGTGATTAAATGGATATGGACGTTATGGCTTAATCTATTAAAAATAGCTATAAAGAATTTTGATACAAGTTTAAGTTTAGACTATAGATCTTTTATCTACTGTTTTTGAAATTTTGAATTGGATGCTTGTCTATGAATGCGTAAAGTTGTTAAATAATATAGCATTAACTGACTTAGCATTTGCCTGCCTATCCGAAATTCACAGATGCGAAATTTGAACAAAATCATTTTGTGGATTTATATGGGGAAAAAGGTAGCAAAGAAAAGTAAACAAATGTCTCAAATAGGACCTGAAAAAAAGAAAAACTGAATTTCTGCTTTTTGAAGAAGTTTTGCAAATTTTGAAGATTTCTGTATTTAATCCACATCATTGCGCATATAGACATATTTTGATCACTCGATGACTTTTAGCACTGACCTTATAGAGAACTTTTTTACCCTATTTGAGAACCTCCAACTACTTGCAAGTTGTTGGTTTTAAAATCTTTTGGTGTAGCTTTCGTGTCAGATCAGAATTGAATCACGTTTGCTTTCTCCATCTTTCTTCTATTTATCTCTCACTGATATAGAGTTTTGTTGAAACATACATGGTGCAGCAATCTTCTGTTTACGAAAACCAAACTTTCTTGCTGAATGATCCTCTCTGACATGACGTGGTTTAGAATAAGACCGTTCTCATAAGCGTTTCAGAAGGCCTGTGATATTATCAAGTGACTCGTTCTCACATTCATGCTCTCTCTTTCGACCACATTCTAAAACGATGAAAAGTTCTACACTTTCAGCATCAGCATGCATATTTCCCAGAAATGTCCTTAACCTGAAATTTTGCTACGGAATTAAGGAGCATTGACCTTATAGAGAACTTCTTTACCCTGTTTGAGAACCTCCAACTACCTGCAAGTTATAGCTATAATTTTGTTATTTAACCGAAAGATCAAAAATATCTGATTTTGTAAGAGATATTAACTCTAAATTGATTTGAGAGGTGTACATCCAAAGCGGTGTGTAGGCCTTTTTTGCTTTGTTCGAGAAAAGACAGGAAAAACAAGGAAAAAAACAGTGCCTAGAACCTCATCGGACTGTCTTCTCGAACTGTTGTACTCTGGGAAAGGCTGGATTACAAAGTTTTAATTTATTGAAAAATATACAAACTATCTTGCTTCTCACAAAAGGCGCGAATCAAATTGCAGCAGATACGAAAACGCTTTATGTTCGTAGTCGCTCACAACGATGAGGTTCTGAAAAACGTATAACAAATATCTAACATAAAGTATTACAGCCCGATGATGTTCCTTTTAGGTTAATGTATAGGTCTATTTTGAGAATTTCACTGCACCATCCTAAAAGGTCGCAGACACCTGAAATTTATATGAGTTTGATCATAAAGTTTATTCGATATTTAGTAATGCTATTTTCCATACTAGTATTCGATTTTAAGTAATAATTGTGTAGCTATCATGCCGACTTTTCAGATGAAATTTTTTGCCGGAAAAACTGCTCTTATATTGGTAACAATTTATCTCTCATGTTAACGACAACGCTTAAACCTTCGTTACTTTTGTTTCTCAAGAAGGTAAAAGACATTTTTATTGATAATGTGATCCTGAATTCAATTGAAACAAATAATCATGTGACTTAAATATATTAAATATAAGTTTAAAAAGGAATTTTAACAAGTGTTTAATAATATTGCCGAAAAATTTTAGATTTTGAAATAAGTTAGCTAGTTTGAAAGAGCATAAAAAATTAGCTAGAAACCCAAAGTTTTACGGTTCTGAAACAAAGTCTTCTAATGTTTCAAGAAAAACTTGTTTAAACCCGCAATATTGATATATGAAAAATCATGGATTTTCATACTTTTTGTTTTTTGAAATTTTCGGCCAAAAAAAATTGATAAAAGGTATTACCAATTTAAACCAATAGATAGACCGAAAGATGCTCTACAAAACTATACATTTTATTTATTCACTATATGTGTCAAGAAAAAAATAAACTCATTATAATGTGTGTACTTGACGATTTCTCCATACTGTATTTTTATGTTTTTGCTTCTTTTATGCACTTTTTCTTTAAAAGCCTAGACTTAGTTTTACATATTCGTGTAGAGCATCGAAAAGCGCATCTTTTGATAAAAAAATATTTATTCTAAAGTACTGGCAAAGTCTCGAAAAGTCCAAAATAGTGCTGCTCATTACACAAGATTTTTCCCATTTTTCATGAAAACTCACTGAATAATCTTTTATTTTGACGAGAATAATTACAATTTATGTCAAAACTAATTAGATATTTGAAATCGGCACTAAAAACTGGTCCAGTCCATATGTGTTTCAAGGATTTTTAGCAAACTGTTTTCAACGTAAATTTTACTCTGGCTCCTCTCAAGCATTTGAAGACACATGAGTTTCATTAAAAAGATATTTAGGTATTATAAATGAAGTTCTAAACCTGTGAAATGCTAGTAAAATAGGAAATTGACTGTTCGGAAATCGCGTGAACAGTTGGGGGAAGAATAGGTGTTTAGAAAATATCACGAAAAATCACACGAGGGAGGGAAGATAAGATGGATTGATAAGGTGATTGACACTACTTACTGGTTCTTTCTAAAAAATTAACTATTTATATGACAAAGTTCCCTTTTCCAGTTAAACAATCTCTAATTCTCTTTCTGGAATCGTTTCTTAGTATAGGTTTTCCGAAAACATAAGTTACTAAAAGGCAAGCCATTTTAGATGACTAAAACGTGAAGTTAACAAAATCTTTTTGCTTCTCAATCACAGTCGGATCTGCTTAGAAAGTCATCATTTCAAGTATTGGATCAAACCATACACAGAGGAGACCATCACTATGCTGTCGGCGAGCAAACATAAGCTTAACGTACTTTAATGCATCTCAAACAATAATCATTCTCAGTTACATAATCCACATACGAGAGTGACAATGAATCTCAGAATACGAACACTTCGATATTAGTTAGTAAAAGTATTTTTCACCTCACCTTACGGCTAGTTTCGTTCGAAGCAAGCATTTTGAAGCAAAATTCTAGGGACAAAAGTTATTCAGAATTGAATTCTGCAGTCTCTAACGAGAGTTTTTTCCCCCCTTAAGTCCCTTAAGCAGTGTGGGTCGAAAACTATCATTCTATTGGCACGCTCGATCTATACCAGAGTTGGAACCGGATCGATAAATCGGTCGACCCGATCCGATCCGTTTAAACTTTTCAATCGGCCGTTTTTTACCGTTTTTTCACCGATTTATCTTTAGAAAAATTTTTTAGGCTTTTGCTTCTTTTCAAATCACTTTTTCAGAAAAAAGAGAAAGTATTCTTTTAATATGGTAGCAAGGATTATTTCAAGAGTCCGTTATTGGGCAAAGTAACTTAAGCCAAAACTTACGTGATTTTCTTTTTTTCATGTAAATTTCAAAAGCGTAAACAAAATAGAGTTTTACTTTCACCTGATAACGCCTATAATTTTAAGAAGGGTTTCAAGAAATTTCGAGCTATGCATTCAACGAGTAAGTAAAAAATAGACGTGTATTTATGAACACATAGTAATTAGTTACGATTTGTTCATTTTTTTTTATTTTTTCTGCTTTGTGCACAAAATAGTATACAGAAATATATCAGTCAGAACTGTTACCATTCTTGTTCGCGCAGTGAAAGTGTGTACAGAAGTATCTATTTTATAGACTGGTTATTCTCATTAACATGTTTCAATGTCAAAGTCATCGCTATCAGATAAAATGGAACAAAGTGAAATATAATTAGTTGGACTGTGTATATCTGATAGTGCTGACGAAAAAGAAGGCAGAGATAATGTGATAAAGAGAACGACTAGTTAGCATTTTCTCCGTTGGTACTGAATAGTATTGCCGTCGATTAGTATGGCCTTCCATTTTTATTAGGAAAAGTGTCTAGGTGAGGAAATTGAAAATACAGTTTTCAGAAATGTAAAACTGGCTTTTTAGTGCCAAAATTTAACTTTTTTCAAAAACTAATGTGAGATTCGTAATCAGTGTCAAAAACTGCATCTAGTGATATGCTCCTCTAAGTTCTGCTCTAAAATAATCTTTTCAAAAACTTGATCAGCGGAGTCTCGAGTTACGTGGACAAGCCGTGTACAGTACAATGAGTTAGCAATCGATCCATATACAGTATATATGAAGATTCATGTCATGTGTTTGTTGGCAATTCAATATCACTTAAGCCTCCAAGGACGTTGTCTTCAGACCAGTAGCAACCGGCCCATGTGAGGGCTTTTGGTTCACTTCTGTTTCTCCTAGTTGTACTAGTTGGACATTAGCCCCTTCAGATGTCGATTCTTTCACCTGAATTTCTTCATAAGGTGCATCATTAGAAGCAATGTTGCCGGATGTTGAGACAAAATCTTGTACTATCGAATTGTGAAAACTCGGATTAATGGCTTTGGCAATAAAATGAAGAGCAGCTGTTGCTGCGCAAGCGCGAGGACATAACGCGTATAGAAATTGTTTTTCATCTTTATCGCGTCTGGTAGCATTTGGATTCACTTGAAGTATTAGCGAATTGCCAGATTCGATATATGTAAATTTGTTTTTATCATTATTCGTGTAAATAAATACACGTATGTTTTTCAAACCACGCCTCTCCAAGGCATCTTTCCAACACTCTTTCGATTTATCAGTATTCATGTGTCCAGGATAAATATAAATTGTCAATGATTGTCCCTGTTGGGCTTCTACAAACTCTACTCCAAAATTTTCTGCAGAAAAAGAGTTACTTTTCTCGTATACTGGTGAAATATATGCTCTTGTATCATTTGTTGTATTAACTGACGTTGGATAACTGGTTAATGACGAACTTGGTGGAAATATTAAGACATGACGATACTTTTTCGACTGTTTGTTTTCATCGTCAGGTTTCATAAATTTATCGTGTATCAATTTCCAGTATTCGTTGATGTACTGGAATTGCTTGCCTTTTGCATCATGCTTGAACAATTTACGATATTCTTGTAGAATATCGACTTTTTCATTATCGATTAAATCGTCTTTGATACAGGAGCAAACGTAAGCTACTTGTGCCATTGGCTTATATTCTTTTTCCCACAGAATATCATCCTCGATATTGTAGTCATCCGGGATGTTTTGATAATCTGGATTGTATTTTGTGTAAAAAGGTCCTTCTGCAACTTTCTGTTCGTTTGCTCCACTAATTTGTTGCAATAGAAGAATTTGTTGTTCTTTTAATGAACGAATTTTTTCCTGTGGATGAATTTCTTTCTGACTCTCTGCTTGTTTGAATTTATCATTTAGTTTTTCTTCCGCCTGTCGATTTTCGTCCAATTTCTTAATGTTATCCAGTCGACACCTGTATTCTTCTGACAATTTAATATTTTCATTTTCGGTAAAAATCTGACGTTCTTTTAGCAATTTATGAATTTCTTTCACTCGACGAGTATGTTTCAATCGACGAAGAATATGTTTTACAATATCAGGATGTAGAATTACGGCATTGTTACTAGCACGATCCATTGGAAAACTATATGGTATTGTTGGCAGCATGCCTCCCATATCGAAGAAGCAAAAGTTCTTGCTATTGTCAAAAATCCGCTGGAGTTCTTTAGGTGTTGCAAATAGAGAAGACGAAATCGCTCGACAGTATTCTGCAGTTAATGAATGATGACCAGGATGAACGACTGAACACCGATCGATCGGCCATATTCCATCATCATCGGTAGCAAGAATGATGGGTGCTTTCAACTTGAATAATTCATCGAGACAATGAGTTCGCGCATAATTTCCTTGACGTAAATTATCGTTCAGTAAGTATTCATTACTAGTAATATTGACTTCGAAAGCTATATTCTCAAATAGTTGGGAAGCTTGATGACGCATTTCTGCTCGAAGTACAGACGATTTTCGATGCATTGATGAGCTCATGCTATCACCGAGAATCCGCTCAAAAGCTATACCATGATCAATTCGAATACCGTAGTCAAGTTTGTATCGTAAGAAGCGTAGACAGCAAAAGACAATGTACATATGAGCGACAAACGATCGATATGCTGGCGTGTCATCATCGGCATATTGAACATTTTCACCGCAGTGAACACGTACGCCGAACTGAGAATATTTATTTTGTGTGCCATTTTGTCTGCGATCTCGTATTTCTTTTATGTATTCGATAAATGGAGATGTCACAAATGGACAATAGGGATATCCTAGTTCATCAGCAAATAGATCGATTCCAACTACCCACTCATAAAACCATGGTATGTTTCCGGCATTTTCCTTCAACTTTGTGAGTTTTTCAACATTGTCACTGAATAAACTACTTGTTTGCACAGAAAAGATAACAGTTATATTCGCGCATTTTGTTTCTCAACTGACAATGGCGGAACAGAAAAATGACGAAACAGTCTGATGTATTTAAAAATGACTGCCAGAGTGGCCTGAAAGTGTAAACATGTTGAATAACTGGTCTCTTTTCTCGTTTCTGTGAAGAAAAATGTGACAAATGTGAAGCAAATGTCAATAAAGATATATGTATATCTCTATTCGAATGCTAGAGGCCTATTACTTTTTTATACCGATTTTACCAATGTCCACGCCTGTGGACATGATAAAGGAGATGATAAAGGGTTAAGAACGCTCACTGTTTTATGTCATTAACTCTAGCTTATTATATAACGGTAAAATAATCTCTAGTTGTCATGACTGCTTATTTTATATCTGGGTATGATTTTGTAGAGTATTTCGCAGTCGCACATCTTTTAAAAAGAAGTTTAGACGGATCGGATCAAAACTGACCGAATAGTAGCAAAAACAAAAAAGTCTCATTTTCTCTGCCACACGCGTTACATGCGAGGTAGCCCAAAGGTTATTTAAAGTAAGTGCACGCTCATTCATCCATCCATGTTCCCGCATAATAGATAGGAAGATTTAGACCCTCAAGACATTAACCATAGTATGAACCGTTTCTGTGAATGAGGTTAAGAACTAGGCTTGTTAAAGGATGGACAATCTATCAGCTATTAAAAATAGCTGTGTCAGAGAAGAAAATTTAGCCTTCCACAGGTGACTTATTTTAACTGTCTCGTCCTTCCTTCCTTGAATAAGTTGTTTATTAAAAGTGGTATGCCTAATAACTTGCCAAATACAGCTGAACTCTAATCGTAGGAAAATCCATTGGTCTCCTATAAAAATAGCTTAGACCAGCTTTCTCACGTTACACGCCTGTTATGGCTATGTAGAACAGACTGGTATTAAACTCTATCTTTTAAACAAATGATAAAAAGTCATATGAATTAGAACATCAGCAACGTTTTCTGCAAAACGTCGTTTGACGCAGAACACATAAAACGAAAAATTGTGCTTTTCAAAAATTTAAATATTTTGCCTTTTTTAGGAATTTTATTATTTTCAAGTGATCGGTTTCAGAGACCGAAACGAGTCAGGGTCATGTTCTGGTGAAAAAAAAAATTTCGGATCCCGTTCGGACCACTGGAAAAAAGCTTTCGATTTTTTTATGCGTTTTTCTGAGAAAATTTTAAAGTTACATCCTCTTTTTATGGTTCAAAAACTTTTTCCGAGTTCATTCGGATCAAAGAAAAAATTTATCAAGTAATTATGTCGGTATGACGTTTATGCTAATGTAATTTAGTTGAGTTTAACTGAACGATAGCCGTGTCAGGTCTTTCTTTAATCAAATTTGTTATTTTTAATACATTTCTTCGATCATTGTAATATGTTTTAAAATCTAGGTAAGAATAATAATAAATAGTTGTGGAAACAAATCAAACAAAGATGGTATTGATAGTTGGTATCGGTCGAATGGAATCCAATAATTAATAAATGATACTAAAAGGGTAAAAATAATAGTTTATCTATCTGTTGGAACTAAACTATTACTTAATTAATTTGGATGACGGATGGAAGTATGATCCTTCAAAAATGATATCGGTTTTTGAAAGTAAACGAAAAAACCAGTCAAACGTTATTTCAATGTAAATGTAATAAGTGAAGAATATAGACGTGTTGCATCATTTACCGAGTACAAATGTCTTACAATATCTGGTGAAACGTATTAAACAGAATATATGTCATGATTTTTTTTATTTGAGATTTAATAATACAATTAAGGCAAGAAGGTGTCCACATTGTTGATCCCGATATTGAACAACCTTTATTAACAACTAGATTCGCTCATCATTTCGATGATATTCAAAATGCTGAACAAGCTATTAGAAGCTTTATCTGTAAATCGTAGACAAATTAATAGATTATTAGGTTGACAACAAAGTTTTTGCGTTTTTTTTAAGATTTTCTAAAACATTCGTGAATATTCTAGAATTTTCCATGCGAAGGGTATATGAAGAGGGTATGCCTGCCCTAATTGCCTTGTTGAAAACGATCGACGCGTCACAAAGATCGTCACGCTAAATAAACAGAATCCCTACTCTCAAGATAAAATAAGCAGAATGAAATGAACTATGTAACAGTTTGAATATATATAATAAAAGAAAAAACTGTTCTAATTCCTGCGCGTCCAAAGATATTCATGTGAGCGTTTACATAATTAACTGAAGCATACAGGTTTTCACACTATACTACATTTCCAAAAAGTATTTGGATTAGTTTGCTTCTACTCCTAGAGGCATGTCGGGAAATTCAATGTCGAAATTAACAATAATTCGACCGCGTTGACTTGTGTCACACGGCAGAGGTAAACCAGCTCGTTCAATGAAAAGTTGAGTTTTTGGATTAATTACTTGTTTATGTTCGATTGTGTGAACGATTGGGCTGGAGAGTAGAGGTACATTAACTGGAACACGATTTAATGCCTGTAGAAAGAAAATGAAAATGTTGTGGATTAGTTTTCCTCGGCGTTTTACATTCCGATCAGAAAACGCATTCTCTCTCCTTGATTTTCCACAGCAAAATAATGCGCATACTCTGAAAATGCGCAGCGGGAATAGGTGTGAAACAACTAGAGTTCTATTGTTCTTGCTGCTCAAAGTTGCTCGAAATTCTGTTCAACGAAAAATTGACTGTGTTTTCTTTTCTGAGTGAACCAACTGCAGATTTCTTGGACGAAGGCTTCAGATGATAGAGACTTATATCAACAGCATTTTCGAAACCTGACAGCTGCAACGTAACAGAAAGCGCATTATCTGCATTATCTTTTTCGTTTTTGATTCTTACTCTCAGGGGGATAGTTCTCGTAGAAGTCGGACACTCCAAGTTTTAATAGTTTTTCCTGCGAAAATCAGCGGAAGTCTGCAGATACCTGTTTTCCTTAGAGTAATAAGTGTGCAAGATATAACAGTTTTAGGGTAAAAAATATTGAAGATTAAAAGTAATACAAAAAATTTTTACTTACATCGGCCAATTTAATAGGCGCTGTGTAAATTAAATCACATCCCGATCGTCTGAAAATAGGACGCGGATGTTGCCGTATAATAAAAATAATATCAGCCGGAGTATTCAATACATTTTGATCGCCCGCTTGGTGGAATATTTTTCTCGCATCAGATGCGCAACCAGGTTCAGTTTCCACTACAAAGGTTTTTTCTTCGTCATGAGTAGTGGCACCATCGTTATTGAGTATTTTTATCGTTTTTGATATGATTTTTGTCCGACCTTCATTAATTTCTTCTAATGTTAGAAACAGGTCCTCGATGACAGGCGGATCTTGTACTTTTTCCTATTGCCAATCAGTCTCATCTGGACATGGGAAATGATTTATGCAAGATGTATCGCTCGTCACAGATCTAGCAGTTAGAAGGGATGAAATGAAATTGTGTTTAGTAAAAGAATCGTAAATACTTACAATAATGATGTATTACTGTTGTTTAAATAACATAGAAAATCGATGTTTAAAGTTTCGGCACTGGCACGAATAATACCGATAATTTCGAGCCAATATTTCATTAATTCAAATTGTATCGAATAACTTAGGCCGTGCGCATTTGTTACAATGCATAAATGAATAGCATTGCTAATATTACAAATATCTTCCAACGATATTGCAGATTTTTTGTTACGAAGGAAGTGTAAATTTGAAGTTAATATGCTCAATGATGCATCTCTGACTGCAGCCAAAAAGTGTTTCCAAATTTGTTTCATTGCATTAATAAATCCTTCACGAGAGCAATAGGTGATGAGTGGTTTGATAATGATGAAGATTTGCTGAAGTACTCTGTAAATCCATCGACCGAATACACAGGTATTAGCTATATCACAAACAAACTTTCCAGCTACCACTGGTACATACCATGAAATATTTTTTACTATATCATCAGTTGTCACTTTAACACTAATTTCATTTTTTAAAAATTGATTCGTTAGTTGGTTTATGTTCAAAAAGAATCCTTCTGCTGCACGTGTACCTATGGAGCCAGAACCAAAAAGAACACAATAGCCCAAAAAAGCCATTTATAGATCCTATAACAACATCATAGAGCATCTATCAGGAAAACTAGTAGAACTGCTTTAGTTTTTAGCGTAAAATTAATGAAAAACTTTCCATTTAGCCAGATTCCCTAATCTGTTCGGCTTTGTGAGAAATACTATTTGTTCTAAGTGTTGACCTCAGATATGTAGAAATGGACGAGTACATGATTTTTTTAAGCCAAGTGTGAGCATGAGGACGCGTACAACAAATTTTTACTTGAGTAATACTCGAGTATCAGAGATATTTAAAAATCGAAGTAGGTCGTATTTTTCAAAAAACACATTTTTTTCAAAATACGCCTTATATTTCGGTTCGTGCTTTCTCTGAGTTTCTGAAAATATTTTTTTCAGATTCAGCATCAAAAACTGAGCCTAGACGAGTTGTTAAATCGGCTTAAGACCCCGACATCTTTTCACAGTGGCACTCCAAATCACATCGAGTGCAATGCGCATAAGTCGTTTTTGTAAACGTATCAAGTTTTTTTACATAAGCGATGAAGTCAAATGTTTTATCTCATTCAA